AAAAGTAAACCATCTTGGAACTTTGGAAGAATTTCCATAATTTTGGTTTTCTTTTTAAATTGAAACTTTTTTTACAATTTAATGAAATTTTAATGTATAAAACTAAGTACACGCAGATCTTTTTGAAAAGAAAAATCTAAAAGCTATATAGGAGGCTATGCGAAAACGTAAGACAGGATTTTATTATTTTTTTAAAAATTTAGAAGATAGTAGGATTGTGGCTTGTTGTTTTGTATATAATGGAGAACGGTACAAAAGAAAAGGACATTTAATTAATGTTAATTTTTTAACTTAAGTCAATAGTTAGGTTTGTGCAAGGTACTTCAAAGTACAGGAAGTGATACCTCTACTGGTAAAACGTTTTCTTAGGTTTGCTCCATTAGAATCGAACTATATTCGAAGGTAGACTTTACTTATGAAAAAATTAATATTTTACAGGAATTTCAATTATTGAAGCCTTCAGAGTCGTCGATAATGCGTGGATAGGGTCACGCTCTGCGTCCGATAATCCTCCAATATCGCTCGGCTTTGTGTATTTCTTGGTCAGCCCTGTTTTATCTCGATCGAGATTTTCATGGACAAAACGAATTCAATGATTTTCCGGAAACGCGGACGACCAGCGGCCTTCCTTGCCTCCGCATAACGATAAAATACGGGAAATCGACATTACCGGGAGCCTCCCTCGTCAGTTTGTCGTTCTATTAATAAAAGAACTCTTATCGTTATCTAAGAACTATTTTTTAATATTTTTTATACACAGTTTAGTCAGATAAAATTATCTCTCTAAAATTTGTTGACACGTTCGTATATTAAATATATTTTAATTTTTCATGCACTTGGAATGTCGAAGAAAAAACTTTTGATAATTTCTTTAAGATTGCCCATTCTCGATCTTCGGCTATTTGTCATTTCACTTCATGGTTGTCACGAATTATCCTCGCTTGAAAGCTAGAGGCAAAAAGTCTGAAAATTTACCATCATGATTAACCAAACTAAAGATGATCAGGTGTCATCCACTTTAGAACACATTCATAATGAATATCCTTTTTAATGTGTGGTGATTAGTGTCCGTTAATCGATAATTATTCAGAAATCGTGAGATGTGGCCTTATACAAAAATGTCTTTTCTATACCGATTTCCTTCCCCACCCCTTCAAAATCCAACGTATATAAACATAAAACAGCAATATCTCACTGGCACTCTCAACACGACACGCAAGAATGGCACAATTACACAGAAGACAAACACTTTGAGTGAGTAGAAATACTTTGACTGAATATAAAAAAATATTTTGCAATGTATAAATTCACTTTTCCACATCCTAAATGTATTTGTTAAGTGAAAACAATGTTTGTAAATCCCAGGCCCTGAAGATGATCTCAATAAAGATCGAAACGTTGGCACGATAAAGAAAATGTTTTTCTGAAACCTACACATCTCACGATTTCTGAATAATTATCCTTTTTAATTTTTTTTAAATATTGCAACTACCCACATAAGATTAGATTATATAGGATCCGGCCTCTTTACAACCTGTGCACTGCGACTTGTATTGGTCTATTGTACATCTTCATTTTTTTTAAAATGTAGATCTCCTCGTTAAGCTTGATGCTTTATTACTATGACCACAAGAAGGACCTTAGGCAAATCTTGGGGACTAAAACCGAAAATGGCTTATTGGCTATATACGGCAGTAATAAGGCCTAGAATAACCTATGGATCACTAATCTGGTGGAACAAAAAGTAGCTACCCAAACATTAGGCAGCATACAAAGACTAGCAAACCTATGTATCACAGGGGCGATGAGAACAACCCCTCCAAACGCACTAGAAACCTTGCCAAACCTACCTCCACTAGAACTATTCATACAAGGAGAGGCTAGGAAAAGCTCATTTAGGCTCCAAAAACAATTAAATTGGAAAGGGACTAAACAAATCGGGCATACAACCATAATCAACAAAATCAGACACCCATTATTAGAAATGGGGACTGACTACATGATCCCGGAAACAATCTTCACAACTTCCTATAAAGTCTCAACGGACTATAAAGAAGAGGAAGAACACAGGAGAGCATCAGATACAATGGTACACAGATGACTCCAAAACAAACGAAGGAACCGGATCAGGCATTTTCTGTACAAGCCCAAAATATGAGCAATCAAACTCATTAGGGAAGTATACTTCGGTCTTTCAAGCAGAAATACATGCCATCAATGCTTGTGCCCTGGAAAATCTTAGAAGAGGTTACACTGACAAAAAAATCCTCATAAGATCCGATAGCCAATCAGCCATTAAAGCATTAGCATGTAAAAGAATTACATCAAAACTAGTCAGTGAATGCATCCAAAATCTCCAAAACTTGGGAAAACATAACAACCTGATGATATCTTGGGTGCCAGGGCACAGGGGAATTTTGTGTAACGAGGAAGCAGACAAACTGGTCAGAGGAGGATCTGCAAGACCATACATAGGCCCTGAACCTATCCTTGGGATAACAAAAACAAACATAGAATCCTCCATCGCAGAATGGATCCAAGCAAAACAAAAAGAGAAGTGGATAAACTCTAGCGGTGCTAGACATAGTAAACTTATGATGAAACAACCCTCACCAAGATTGGCAAAAACACTGCTGCAATTGGAGAGGGCAACCTCAGAGGAGTGGTGGGACTACTAACTGGTCACTGGTATCTGAGAAAACATCTACACAACATGGGTATATACAGTGATGATCCCATCTGCAGATTATGTAATGAGGAGGAGGAAACAGCCACTATATCATCTTCGAATGCGAAGCAACAGCTCAATGGAGGTTTAACCTAATGTACGGAAAAGACTTAGGGAATCAAATTGCAGCATCAACAGTTAATGACCTGATACTTCTAAGAAGAAGGATTGAGTCTATTGACTGAACTAAGGAACTATGAAGGTACAATAAGCCAGAAGGATGCAGTGCCTGGGGAATACAAACCCCGCTTCCTGGTACCCTTTTCACCATACCATACCACACCTCGTTAAGCTTGAGGCTTTATTACCAGACCCCCAAAGCTTTATCAAAGACCCCTGTGGGTGTCTCAGGCCCTGGCTTTTCCTCTCCCAGGATTAGGAATCTCAGCCGACATAGGCCTTCGCACCAACTGAGGACGTGCTCCGTTGTTTCTTCTTCTTCTTGGCAATATCTGCACAGGTTTGTTTCTACCACTCCGATTCTATACATATGCCTCTGGAGTCTGAACACATGCTTTAGATAACAAGCAATAGTGTAGAGAGATAAACAAAAAATTAAGGTACTAAAGGAAAGAATGCTCAACAAAAGAGGAAGCTACCCACTAGCATTTACTTAAATTTTGCACTTAGTTTGTACAGCTGTCTTCACTGAACAGTAGAACTCTGTGCATTGTCTCTTTAACTTTGTTTAGGGTTTGAAGAGATTCTGCGATGTGAGAATTGTTGGATGAGTTGGTTATGAGTGTCATATACAAAGAGTGTATTTAGGTTGTCATTGCACATTTAGAACTTTTGGGCTGTTTAAATTCGTTGAATGTTGTAACGTTTGGCTGAGCCTTAAAGTTCCAGTATATAAGTCCAAGTAGGTTCTAGTATAGTTGTTTGTTTCCCAGTGTCATGACCTTTGTCAAGTAGGTTAGGTACATTCCCAGATATCCAGGCACCTGGTTACCTTTACCATTATTGAATTTTACTTTACACGAGTGGAGACTTTCATGGAAGTACTCACTTTCCTCACGAGAGAAGAAATCATGAGGCCATTGGTGCTTTAGGTGTCTTCGAGGGTTATCATGATGGGTTCAGGATGAAAAGTGTTGGACTTAGAAGGTTTAAATGACTTCTTGAAGTTTTGAGTAGAATTGGAATTTGACAGTCTGTGTGGATGGTGAGGTTGGATTCGGCAATGGTTGAAAATATTTTGGACTAGTGTTGGATTCTCTTTGATGTTGAAATGCTTGATTGAACCCAACACAATTAACCTCTCCTGCTTCAGATTTACATAGTAGTAATGTGTATATAAGATGTATATTTTGTACTGAAAGTTTGGACTTTTGTGAAGTTGTCTCTTGATAAATAGCAGTTCAAGAGATAATCAGGCACAAAATTTCATGATTCACCTCCTGGAATGCTTTGGTTCACCAATGCCATCTCAATATCAATTTTTCTCGCTAGGTCTGATTCCGTAAGATCTGCGCAGTTCTATTTTCGTTCATATTTGTTATAATTGAATGTTGGTCACACAGGGCCTATGAGACCTAGTCTGATTAGACTTGAAACTTGCACTCGATTTTCCTACACCTGGGGGTGTCGGTGACCGCAACGGTTTAGGCATTGACACGGCGCTCATCACTGTAAGGTAAAGGTCCCAGGTTCAAATCCAGCGGTCCTGCATTCGAACCCGACGTACTTACAAATGGACTTTTTTCAAATCACTGGCACCCCGAGGGTTGATATAACCTCTGCTGTTGCGAACCCTAGTAAAAAAAAAGAAAAAATTCCTACACCTAATATGTACTAACCTAATTCAGGGTTGATGGGGTACTCAACATTCTACCATCGCCCAATTAAGTACATTCACTCTCAACAAACGCTAAGGACAAAACTTTCACTATATACAATAAAACAACCCTGTTTCCTCAAAAAATCAGAACTTTCTGCCATACTCAAGCACGATTCTCATATCAGGTGACATTCCTATCTGCTCTATGTGAAGCCAAAGAGTTGCACCCTTCATCTAGGTGCTGATGCAAATGTGTCCTTTGACCCAAAAGTAAGTGTCAGTCAATCTCTCGTGGCCTATTCTTAATTGGACAGGGATGATCCCTCTGACAGCCACTTATCGACAGTGCTCCTGATGCATGAATTTATTTTTAGCTTTTTATTAAGCTGATCATCAATATTTAGGTTTACTACCTCTACTTTTAGTCTTATTTTCTATGGATCCATTAAAATCTTCCATATTCTAAGTGATTGAATTCATCATTTGTTCTAGGCCCAGCAACTAGCAATGTCACAAATGAAATTTTTGAAATTTCCAAGAAGATCACTCACTACCGGGTGCTCAAGGATTTCAATTGCTCAGTCGATGAGATTTCATCATTTACAATCCAGGTAAATTGTACAGTAATGTGCTTCTTCCTGCAGAATATTTTCCTGGAAAGGCTGAGATTGAATGGAGTTTATTGCAGGTGGATGGCCATGTGACAGTCGTCGAGGTGATAGATCCAGTAGACGCCTATGTAGAATTGATGAAGGACATTTTCAATTTTGAGCAGATCAGATCATTGGCGGAAAAGCCCGACTTCAATATCATCGTAGATTCCATGTCTGGGGGTAATTTTGCATTCGATGGAAATTTAAATTATGTAATAGGCAACTTATGGTTTTTGTTTGTTTTTCAGTCACTGGTCCTTATGCCAAAAGGATCTTTGTAGAAGAGCTAAAGTTTAAGAAAGACTGCATCGTCTGCGGAACTCCTTTGACCGACTTTGGGGGAGGCCATCCTGATCCCAACCTAACCTACGCCAATCGGCTCGTCCGCCTGATAACTGAGGGAGAGTATGAGTTTGGTGTTGCCTTCGATGGCGATGGTGTAAGTATTATATATAAGTCTTCTTGGAATTGTGTTTTTAATGAAAGGCTTGCAGGACAGAAACATGATCTTGGGTAGAAAAGGTTTCTTTGTCGGGCCGAGTGACTCCCTTGCAGTCATTGCTTCAAAGATCAACTGCATTAAATATTTTAAGGCAAACAGGGTAACTGGATTCGCTAGGAGTATGCCCACCACCCCTGCAGTCGACAGGTACGTTCAAGACAAAAACGGATGAAAGACCGTTAAAATCTACAAAAAAAAAAAAAAATTGAATTGGAATTTGGATTTATAAAGGCTCAAATCTGCACTATGTACCAACATAAAAAAACCGAGTTGAGCTTATTCACTTCTCGTAGTCAATCGGCAATTCCAGCTTTTTAGCAATTGTAACTGTAAATTGCTGGCAGACTCGAGAACCCCCCCCCATGGGGGTGTTGGCAGTCCAGGAGCAGACCTCAGTCTTATCCATCCTGGCTGCTGGATTCGAACCTGGCTCCTTTACCATACTGTAACGAGCACTGTGTCAACACTTAAACTGTTATGGCCACTGAAGCCCACTACCATCACTCTTTACACATGTACCACTGACCTAATTGCGGGTCGATGGGGCACTTGATATTCCACCATCCACCTTTTCATATCACACATTCACGCTAATAAATACATTCACTCTCAGCACAAACTAGTAACATAGCTATTTTTACTATACACAATAGAACAACCCCGTTTCCTCCAAGAATAGGAACAGGGGACCCAAATACTCGCTGCTGTGCTCAAGCCTGAAATTGAATTGAAAAAAAAAAAAAAAAAATTGGTGGAGGGTGATTCAACTATGAGGTATGAACCCTCGGGTATCAGTGTGTTTGAAAAAGAGCTCATATTGGGTTTGAATATGGGTCACTGAATTTGAACCCGGCTCCTTTACCTTACTGTAATGATCACAGGGTCAACACCTAAACCGTTGTGGCCCCAACTCCTTACCTATTGAAATTATTAAAATTATTGAAGGCACGCTTTAACACATACATTTTTTTTTTTTTTTTTTTTTTTTTTAGGGTTGGTGAATTAAAAGGGATCCCGATTTTTGAGACTCCGACTGGCTGGAAGTACTTTGGCAATCTCATGGATGCTGACAGGGTTTGCCTCTGTGGTGAGGAAAGTTTTGGGTAAGAACGATCGTAAGACTGAGCCTAGTTTCGTTTTCTACTGGCCAATTTTCAGAACTGGTTCAAATCACATAAGGGAAAAAGATGGAATTTGGGCTGCTCTTGCCTGGCTCAGCATAATTGCAACGCTTGACAAGGGCATCCCTGAAATCATGACAGAACATTGGGAAAAATTCGGCCGTTATTACACCACAAGGTAATAACTTGTTAACATCACTTAACAAAAAAAAAATTGTATTAAAAAATTTATTTATTAAGGTATGATTATGAGAATGTATCGAGTGAATCGGCGAAAAACATGATGGAGCATATTGAAAAGACCATAACCGCAGCATCCTACCCAGGGACTTCTTTTGGCAGTGCAGCAAAGTATGTGGTTAAATTTGGCGATAGTTTCAGCTATACTGATCCAATTGATGGATCCGTCGCCAAGAACCAGGTAAACCATCTTTGTAATCAGTTCGTCAATCATTTTAAATTATCATTGTTTCTTGATCTGACATAAATGTAAAAACAAAAACAAAAATAGTAAACAGGATGGCAGAATTTTTGAAATATGTGTCAATAATTCATTTAATTCTTCAAATTAATTATACACGATTTTTGAAATGAAAAATTTGTGTCACAGGCAGGATTCGAACCCAAGAACTTTGGATCGATACTCAATTGATACTTGACTTAATGTGAGCTTGATCGCCCATGCAACAAACTCCTCATTCTGATTTCCCATTTTATTTCATTCGATATAACATTTGATCCTTACTATTCTTCTTGGTTCTGCATATCATCGCTGGGGTTTTGTCTGTCAGACGCACATCTCCATTTCGTCATCTTCATTGTGTCTGTGTGATTCTGTTAAATCAAGTCTCTTTTATTAAGCACCCCCACGACCTTATAAAAGAGACTTTAACAGAATCACAGAGATAAAATGAAAACGGCCAAATGCCAAAACATATCTGATAGAAAAACCCAGTAAGAATAGTTAGACCACGATTGGTAATAATTGGTACCATGAGGAAATCTCATAATTCATGTTGTCACAATTTTATTACTTTAAAAGCTCTAGCAAGTTTAAAATTCAGTGGTCTGTTTAAAAAAAATAAATAAAAATCAAGATTTCCTGATTTTCTTCGACAAGGTTATTTTTACTACCATCTCAATTGAACATTGACATTTAAAATGGTTTTAGGCTAACCAGAGATGATGTTTGATTAAGGTGTAGATTTATTAATTAATTATCCTAAAATTAGCCTTGTGAAATGATTTTCTCCGATCACTTGCTCTGGCTGTTTAGTTTTAAAATTAGGGTCAAGCTAGTCACTTAGTCAACCCATTTCTTTAAAAATAAATTTACTGACTTTTTATCTTAGTTAGCTCTATTAAATAAAAATAAAATAATAAATAAACACGACTTTTATTGCAGGGTCTTCGGGTTGTTATGGAAGATGGATCCAGGATAATCTACCGGCTGAGTGGAACCGGCAGTACAGGGGCCACTGTCCGGATCTACGTCGAGGCATACGAGAAGGAAAAGCTCAGCGAGGAGAATCATATCATCTTAAGCGATCTCTGCGATTATGCCATCGAGCTGGCAAGGATCAAGCATTTTACGGACAGAGACGCACCGACGGTCATAACATAATCGGCCTAACTAACCGCCGCGGTCTCAATGTTGCACCTCTTGGGCACTCGTACGAAGCATATTCAGGAATTGAAATAGTTAATTATGAGTAATAAAGATATTTGTGTGATACGTCTAATTCAAAATTTAAATTTTTAATGGGGCAATTATCGTTGTCCATTACAAACTTAAACTTATTTTAGTAAGATTTTTATAAATTTTCGGCATGCCCTTCAGGGAAAAGATCTGCAAGTTGAGACCACCCAGGGTTAGACAAATAGGAAAATTATTTAACATATCTTTAATAAAAAAAGCCAAATCCTTAATAGTCATAATCTAAAATAAAATATTAATTTCCTTTACTACTTTTACGAAAGTTTCTTAATAATTATCACTATTGTTATTAAATTGTTCTTATCAATCAGTTGATATTAAGATTATTTTTTCTCATGTAAAACTACAAATTATATCTTTAAATTAATATTGTTAAAAATCGTTATTTGTAAAATATAAACTTAGACAACAAGGCGGAAAATGTAAAGATTTAAAATCTATGTAAACCCGCCTCCGTTACGATGCTTGAGGCTCCCTTAGCTTTAATTTTAGCGTTTAGAAAACTAGAAAAATTAATATTTGTAAGGGGAATTAGACATTTGAACTTGTGTATATAATGTTGATTAAAAAAAAAAAGTTTTTGTAATTTTTTATAATTTTTTAACAAAATGAGAAAATGGTAAAAAAAGTAAAAAATAATTGTGTCCCAAGTCAATTCACTAGATTTCACCGGGCTAGTGTGTGAATGGGTCTTCTCTTGTCAAAACCCAAATAGTTTTGTGTTTGTTCAATTAATGAGTCGGTTTCTTTAACAACGTTTGAGTTCGGAAATGAGATTTCGTCTAACCTAAACTGTGAATGTAGGAGTGTCGACAAATTGCACACCTTCCATACTAAACAACCCTACTATATCACAAGAAAAATTTGAATATTTTTTTTTAAACATTATTTTTTAATTTTATAATCCCATTGTATAAATATTTCTATGTGAGGTATGTTTTGTTTAGGTTTTTGTTGTAAGCGTTTCCTCCCTCTTTGTTAATTGTTAAATGAGGAGCTTCATTAATTTTTGAAATATATTCAACACTCATAAGGGATCAAAGTGAAAAATTTATTTTTATGACATATAATTTTAATTGAGTTTATTTTTAGTGATGTAGAAAAGTCTTCAAGGTGGTATCTGATTACCCTTGCTTGACTATTAAAGAAAAATTAAAAAATGCATTTAAACAATTGAAATTGAATAAAACAATTAATTTAAAAGAGGCAAATTGTATAGGAAATTGTGTGTTAAGGCGGAAGGACTCCCGATCCGAAGGAAGGGACTTTTTCCCCTTGATCACGGGGTTTAGCGTAAGTAGAGGGTGTAGTTATATTTATATATATTGGGACTGCGAGGGCCTTTTCTAGGCCTAAGACCAGCACTGACTGCCAGATACGAGTTGTGAAGCGTTCAAGTGATGAATCCGACTCTCGATAGATTATAATTTTTCTAATGAGAATTAACAAATCCGTCACGGCGATCACCCGTGCGGAATCGATTGTATTGTTAGACTTAGATCATTGTTTTTTCTTCTATCTGTCTCTTGTTGAGTGTGTTAGTGGATTTTTGAGATTGGATTTCTCCGCTTACCCCATTGCAATTCGAAAGCTTATTGTAATCCATTGTAGCCTGTATTTTTGATTGGGATAGTCCCATTTAGATGTGCCCTTACAATGTTAACGCGCATGTAGATTTAGACTGCAATAAAATTCCTTCTGTCGAGTGAAAGACGTTTTAATTCTTACCTTATATATCACAGCTTTTCAGGTGACCGATCTCCTGTGAAACTACACCCGGTGGAGAGTTGGTTTATCGTTCGACTGTTCTTGTCCGATGGTTGATTTCAAACTGAAAGCAGTTTCACTTATTCACATAAAGGATACCCTTCAGAAAGTGGCAGAAAAAATCACATCAAACAATCTTCAAGGGCTGATAAGAAATAAAAGGATCTAGAAATTGAGTGGGCCAACATTGTGGTGAATGCTAATCAATATTACTAATTAATATTTTCTAATAACTGATAATTTTAGATTAACTACTTAGTTAAAAAGTGATTCACTGCTCATTGGTATTGCTTGATTACTTTTCAAATACTGATATTTTAAATTAAGTTTTGAATGTTGAGTTAACCTTTCGACCTTATTTTTTTCTTACTTAAAATGACAAATTTAAAGCTAACAATTTTTTTACCATATTTTGTCAGAAGCATAAAATGGATAAGGACAAATTTCATTTTCAGAAATGATGTAAATATTATGTAATCCCTTATACTGGGAGCCAGGGCGTTAATCAAACCATATTTATGGTTCATTAATAATATTTTATAATAAATACAGTAAAAAATAAATAATATTGAAAGATTTTGCATATTCAAAAATTCTTTAGGTATTTTGAAAGAAAAACTTCGCATAGTATTTAAAATATCATTTGATTTTTGCCGATAATTTTGGTCCTACCTTCGCTTGGTTGGACAGACACACTGAAGATGGCGAAATGCTGAAACAAATCTTATAGACCATCCCAGCAAGGATAAATGAAATGATTGATAACAACCAAATTTACCCCACAGACCCACCAAACTAGATTTATCTGTGAGTGTTTTGTGTCTTGAATGAATGTATTTATTAGTGTGAGAGTTGAGTATATTTGGGTAGGTGGTGGTGGAAGATCGACTACCCAAGACCCACTAAACTAGGCTAGTTTTAGGTTAGATGTTTTTAGAGTGAAAGGGGGAGACCCGGGTGAAATATTAATATCCTAGTGTCTCACCAATTTTTAGCAATACATGTGGTAGGAAAGGGTGTAATCAGTATGCCTGTATTTATTGGTGTGGATGAGGTTGGAGGTTGGGCCTTCAGCAGAATATCTAGTGCCCTGCACCCACCAAACTAAGGTTAAGCTAAGTTTGAATGCATTGGTATTGGTTGGTATGAGTAGAAATCAAGTACCAGAAGTTCTATAAGAAAGATTAAAAAAAACAAAAAAAACAAGGTGCTGGCATTAGGTCTGGTAGCTAGCCAGCTGAGAAAAAATCTCACAATCTAAAATGATATTTATTGTCACAAAAATATTGGAAAGTTCCTTACTATATAATAATGAAATATAGTTTGTACTAAAAATAGTTCACATGACATTTGAGGGGCCCGGCCCACTTACTATGCAACCACCTGCCCTGGGAGATGAATTTTTGACTGAGGAATTGGTGTGACCTGTTGATCCATCACCTATTACTCATAGGGGATGGCCTTGAAGTCAGAAATATTGATGACCTCTTCCCTTAACTGAATTCATAATGTGGAGAAGGGTATGTCAGTGGATAAATGAATCGGAAGTAAGATGCTATCTAAAGAGGTGAACCTTATAGTTCCAGCCAGTTTTCCTCAAGGATATGGCTTTCCAGATGGGTTTTTCCTCTTATATACACCCAGAGTACCGGTTCCCCTTACGAAGTACTGTCTTTAGGTCGAGGTCACCATTGCTGGTAATTGTGGTACCAAGGTGCACCCATGATCAATCTTACTATTCTGGAAGGTCAGGATATTTTTAGTATTATATTCAAGCTTTTGTGTGTCTGCCTTATGCTGTGATTATGTCTGACACGTGTTCCTTCCAATCAGTCTTTTTTCCAGGTTATTCTCTAGACGCTTTACTGACCCTTGGGACTCAATAGCCTTACTGCAGAGTGTTAATGGGGAAAGACTGGTGACTTTTATGAGTTCAGTTCACCATATTGCAATTCAATCGCTTACTGCGAGCAAACATCTAAAGCCTTTATATGTGACTCCTCTCTCGCAGTGCCTTGAGACTGTGCAAGTCTATACCTACACTGTTAGTTGCCATCAGGTTAGTAGTAAAAGCAACATACAAAAAGGGGCTGTTGATGCTCCCTTAGAGTATCTGCTGGGTTGGAGATGTCGCATCATAACATGATACCATAACATTTTGTTCATCCTCAGTTTGGTTTGTCAGGTCTTGCCATCTTCAGTGGTGGGTTGTACATCTGCTTTGGAGACACAGGGCATAAACTTGCTGCCTTGCTTCTACTATCCTTCTATTCCTGGCCATGCACTGAAGATGTCTGACAGACTAATTTTGTCCCATTCACAGAAGTCTCTAAAAATGAAAAATTTCAAAGAAGAACCAGCAACGTCAAGAGTGTTATCGATTGAATATTAAATCGGGTATTATCACTGTATAAAACAACAATTATGGTTAGATGTTTTGTTCAGGTCTGCAAGGTTGTTGTGTAAGATCACCTGGTCAGTCGTTCCTCGCTGCATTGGTCTGTTGGATTTCACCATCTGCAGTGATCGTCGTGTGGTTTAAGCATGTTTCTCAAGCACAGGTAGAACTGACCAACTGCCAACCTTACCGAACGCAATAGACTTTTTTGAATTATGTTGATATTTTTCAGGTATGACGCTTCAGCTACTGTCCCGGTCTTCAATCCGTCTTGTAACTAGACCAGTTATATCCTTTTGATTATAACTAAGAGGCAGTTAAAACGTGTTAAATGTTATTAACCGACTTACTAAATCGGTCTCCAACTCATTTATGAGAAGGGATTTTTTTCTCTTGGGGTTTTATTAGCCCGGCCAAAGGGGGAGTTTAAAATAAAGTAAAAAAAGATTAAGACAAAGGCTGCAATAGCCGTTGGTTAATGGGCGTAATGCATGGGCTCGAGTTGCTTTTATAATGTAATTACCATAATTTTTTTTCTCTTCCTTCCCCTCATCGGTCGTTGACTCGGTCTTGTCAAATTGTTGAAGACGAAACGCTTAAGTAATTTCAACTGGAAATAACTGGGCCCATTATCAGTATTATCTGGAGCTTCTTCGCCCAGGCATTTCAAATCTTTTCGACGGAGGTGCTCTTTTTTGTCTAACTGTAAACTCGCTAAGCCGGAAAATATCCGGAGGCCCGGTTAATAATAAAACACGTCAGCTTTGGCTTTTAAACTCGAACGACCTTTGACGTTTGACAACGGGATAATTTAAAATTAATCAGAACGATGAAGAGAAACTTAATCAAAATAAATGGACAAGAATCTGCAATATGTACCTTTAAATTAATTTTAACCCAATTATCACAACTTTTATTAATAATTAAAAGAAGAGATAATGCAAAACTTTCAGGGATCATTCATTCTTCATAAATAGACTGCTCCCCCCCTGGAATATCGAGTTGTCTGAAGTGAGTGTGTGACATATGATAAGAGGACGACTAGGTTGGTGGGTCACGGATTTAGATCAAACTTTTTTTGGTGATTTTACACTCCAAAATATAGAACACGTATACGTCACACGTGGGAATAGGACCTGGTTTCGCCAAAATTTTTTTTCTTAAGTTGCAATTTTCAGTTTTTTAATATTTTTATTTCGCCTTTCCACATGCTCAAATCAACTTTGTGAATATATCATTTTACAGATTTTTTTAAATGTAGAGTACATTACTGTAACGAAAAATGTCTAAAAACCAAATATTTTTCAACTAAACTAGGGTGTACATTTTTTTTGTGAAACTAATATGAAATTTCGTTTTGGCACCTCTACAGATACCTAGATATAAATTTTTGTTTGAATTAAAATTCACCCCTGACATTTTTACGATTTTTGTAAAGTCGTTATCGGAATATCTGAGTGAGAGAAAGAGAAAGANGAGAGAGAGAGAGAGAGAGAGAGAGAGAGAGAGAGAGAGAGAGAGAGAGAGAGAGAGAGACCGTTGGTGGCAAATTGATAAATTTACTTACTGACCGATTCCTCAAGAATTTCCCAATAAACCATTGGGATCGGGCATTACAATCTCTCTCTCTCTCTCTCTCTCACTCTCTCTCTCTCTCTCTCTCTCTCTCTCTCTCTCCCTCTCTCTCTCTATCTATCTATCTATCTATCTCTCTCTCTCGCTCTCGCTCTAAAATGGTCTATTTGACGTTAAAAACCTTTTAGTCATTCATTCCGATAACAGCTTTTTAGTAATTTTTGGTTACCGATAAATTTTTATAGCTTTTAGTAGATTTATGTTGGAATCAACAAGAAAACTGCTGTAAAATGACATATTCACATAGTTGATCTGAGCAAGTAGAAAGGCGATGTAAAAATAACGAAAAACGGAAAATGTCAACTTTCAAAAAATTGTTTCTGCGAAACCAGAGCTTATTCACAAGAAATGGCGTATGTGTTCGATATTTTGGAGTGTAGAATCACCAAAAAATGTTTGGTTCAAATTCGTGACACATCAACCTGGTCGTCCCCTTGTGAGTAGATTGCCAGATGTACAGAGTAAAAATAATTTATTAGCGTGAATGGAGGGTTCAATTCTTCCCTGAGAAATATGGAGTTCTCTGGGGAATGAATGTGACCATATTGCTAAGCTTGTGGTTATAATAGTTGATTTATATCTATTCTACAGTTGACAATCTGAGGTACAAATAGTAGTAGGATACACACAAAAGCAGAGAGTCAGTAATCCGATAGAGACACTCGATTGGCTGCAGTTTAAAACAAAATACGCGAAAGACCAGAAAAAGAAAGAAAACACGCGCTGACCTCAGATGTTTGTCTGTCATAAACCTCCTTGGAAAATAAAAAATAATCTTTGGCTATTAGAATAATAATAAATACAGCTAATTCAAGAAAAATGATAAAATGGGCAAACCAGAACATCGATGATAGCCAAACATGGCACCGGTGTTTTTTTGCCATCGATGTTTTACATTCCAATCACTACAGACGTCAAACATCTATGTCTTAGGGTTCGATACCCATCCCTAATATCTAGACTGCTTTTAATACTAGTAACCGATGAGGCACTCTTCAATGATATTTTCCTTCACGGGCTCCTCCTGGACTTACTTTTAATGAAATTCGTTTTCATTCATAGCTCGGATGAGACGCTCCAGGGCGAAATACAGTCCAGAAGTGACAAAGAGAGCTTACGTCTTCGCCGACTAACAATGCATCCTAATTTTAATTTGTCTGAGAGATCCCGACCCTCCTCAAAGTTAGTTTTGTAATACCTTTACATAAGCGTGGAAATCGGTGAAATGTTACAAATTATAGACGAAATATCTGCAACTGGTAATAGCAGAGGTATTTAAATTTCTGATTTAGGGATGGTTAGGTTAAAAACCCTAGTTAAATACTGTCGGTTTACTAAACCTTTACATAATACCTGAACAACATTGTTTCCACCCTTCTCGTCCAACAACAAATCTTCTTTTTCAAGAACAACCGAAGTCCTAGCAACAGGTTGACACAATATATTTACATTTTGCCAAGGCATTTGATAAAGTTGATTTTTGTATTCTTATTGGAAAATTAATCATTCTTGGAATACATGGTTCTCTCCTCAAATGGTTTAGCACCTATTTGCAAGATAGAAATCAATATGTAAAATTTAATATAGTAACTTCTAAAAGAACAGTAATCTCATCTGGTGTACCTCAGGGATCGTTACTCGGCCCATTATTTTTCTAAGTATTTATTAACGATATTTCGAAGGTCATTAGGATCAGAAAATTATTATATCCAAGTCCATTTCATGGCAAAATCTTGCGGTTTCTCGCCAGTAATTTATTCACTGGTAAAAGACTTTGGTGACATTCTAGTGCATGGAGAAACTATTGGTGATTAGTTTGTATTCTTACTGGACATTTCAACTCTCGTTCTCTACGGAGGTTATTAAAGAAAAATAATTCTTCTGGTCTACACAAATCGATGAGCTTTTATGAACTATCAAGGGACCGTGTCACCTTACCGTTCGACCCTTCAATACCTGACTCTTACGACGTCCTTTTGGCATTGCAGCGTTTTTTGCGCATTCTGTTAACGACAGAACACCCAACTGTATTTACGTCTGACTGTCGCAGAACTTTTATTAACTTTTTCTCAATTAGATAAATTGTCTCTTGCAATCGTTTTTGGAGTTGACCGTTTTTTCGACTACCTTTATGGTCGCCATTTTAGATATTCAATGTTTTTGAAGACATACGAGTTTTTCATAAAAAATTGCATCAGCTAGACTTTTATATTGCATCTTTTCTCTATGGTTTTCCTTATCCGATCCATTGATTCAAGAAAGAGTCTACAAATCATGTCGAGTGCCAAATTTGTTACAAGATAAACAAAATTCAACTGATATGGCATTCAATGAGGAAGTAAATGAACTCTTTTACCGTAAACACACCTGATGATACTTTAAATCGACTGATCCTTGATAAAGATAAAGAAATTTCGACAAATAAAACACGAAATTCTTTCAGAACATTTAGGTTCCATACCAGCAAGGGTAAGCGAGTTAAAATGATCGATAACAACTAAATTACGGATTTGTATCCTGCAGAAACGACAAAGGAAAGGACCCCGAGTTCTTGGGTGTCATGAGCACGATTGTTAGATGGCTCTCTGAGAAGCTGTGTAACGACGGATAGTGCTCACGGTTGAGAATAGAACATACGCGTTTGTTATCATCTTCAGTATAGCCACGATTATAAGGAGGGTAGACGTAAGGCACTGTGCTACAGACGCTCCACTGAAGGGAAGTAAGTTCTCTTGGGGTCGCATCTCCTGAGAGACGATGAGGTTCTTTTCGTCCGCACCTAGCGCGTGTCCTTATCAGACGTTTTTATAACAAGGTGGAAGGCGCTGCAATTCTGATTACGAGAGAATGGTGTTCTTGTAAGTTCACAAAACCTCCAATCCTTAAGAACCAGGACGAGTTTTTCTCCACTTGCCCCTTCCGACGGGAGGATCAGTATTGATAAGCATGACCAGCACCGCACGGCGAGAAGTCAAAGTTCAGAAATGATTTGAAATGACAGAAACGACAGAATGGGTTTCCATCACTCCCGAGAGGAAGGACTCATCCAGCTAAGAACTTTCGAATTACAGGCCGGCACTCGCTTCGTTTTAAGTGGAATCGAACCACCCCTAGGGGAACCAGTTGTTCAGTAAAGGGTTTCTGGCAGCATTCAAAATACCCTCTAGGAATCTCGCCAACGAACCACTACGAATACCCATAGCTAATTGGTCCACCTGTGGTAATACAGTCGGTCATATTCTTTTCAGACAGGATCCGGTTCACCTACCCACCCACATGTGAAACTGATCGCACACCAGCCGTTCTTCAATGACGATTTCTTTCACCAGTGTACGAAGTCAGCTTGTGCTTTAGACAGTTTGCCATGCTTTCTGTGCTGCGCCTGAACCCCCCCACCTAGAAACCAAGGGGTATTCAGGAATAACATAGAACGCAAAAGAGTGAGAAGGGGTGCCCGTGAATATGAAGCTCACTTTTTCAGGTTGCGACCCATACCACGGGTTATTCCTGTTTAACCGCCGGCCGTGATGGTCTACATTATTCTTTCAGGGAAAAGGTTATCGACCATGACTGGCCCAAGCCTCCCATTTTTCGGAGAGGAATGGTTCCGACGATTCGTAGGCTCACCCCTTCGGGTTTCGCTCACTCCCCAGCCGAAGTCCACCCGCTCTCACTGTATTTGCTAATTTTATGGCATACACAGTTGCGTTGCGTCCTTTAGCCGGGTCCTTAAGGATAGATTAACCCTGGCTGCAATAGGAGGCTGCATAAAAACAGTAGAGTTTATATATAAGTAGTCCGTGTCCCATCACTTCACCGTTCCTTACCCAGGCCGATATGAGCGTGTCGCAGTAGGCATGATCTCCGCAATCTTGCATGCTTCCTGCCTTCGTACGATACACCATATTCTTGCGCTGGGCTTATAGTGATCTAATGCACTCGGTGACAGTGCGTGAGTCACTACTGAAGAGAAATGCCATCTGGTAGAGCTACCCAGCCAAAATAGGAATACCAAAAAATCGGACCAAATTACAGGTTCATCACACCGCATACCACAGAAGGTAATCTCACGGCATTTGGCAAACAATAATTTTTATTTTACCCAACGTTTTAGGAAGGTAGGTGTAGAAGGGACCTTCCAGTGTTCTGCTGCCCAGTATTTTAACAAATGGGCTTTTCATCTAAGACTTTGTACATATGTAGTTTACTTTTAAGATCCAGTGGTCAGAAAAATTCCAACGCGGTAATCGATTCATGCATCACTGAACATCTCGTCCAAACCTCTGTCTTAAAATATGTTATTCGTGGACTCTTAATACGAATAGTTTAGATAACAATTTCTTCTGTAGTAAACAGTCAATTGTTGTCAATAAGTAAACAGATCATTCTTGTTCAAAGTGGTGACTTCAAAACCGACCATTAGCTGAAGGTTTAAAACGGTCCCGGAACAACTTCATTTTAACGGAACTTACCGAAAAGTTTTAAAATTACAGTTGTAATTGCATATTTAGGTCAAAAACATAAAAAAAACTCTTGAGAACCAGTTTTTGTGGCACGCTTTTTGGAGGTTTATCATGGTCGACGAGTGTTTGTCGGAAGTGAACCCCGAGCCCGTGAGTCATTCGGAAATGTCTTGGACGACTCCGACCAGACTGTGTATTTTTTTTTTTTTTTTTTTTTTTTACTGAGCACGTAACATTTTGACATTTCGAACCGAGGGAGTGGGCGATGGCAAGGCCGTTCCGTCTCTGGTGTGAGGGCATTGTGCAAGAGTGGGAACCGGGAGAGAAAGTGCTCAAAGGAACACAGTGCACGTGACGGCCCTGCAAAGACATGTCAACACAAACGGTAAGCACTTTCTTCCAATTCCAGTTGTTCCATTGCCCTTTTATGAGACGGATGGTCGCGAATTGTCGGACGAAAGACTCAGCCCGGCGAGATTGCCAAGCCTGACAGGAAAACTTGCAACCCCGAAACTCTTTCCCAATACTCAAACACTCCACTTGTCATATCGTTATTAATTACAACTTTTCGCACTTGTCCGTCAAAAGCGTGGCTTTACATTCAAATAATTGGAGAGATTGCTTGAAGATGGATACTCTCATTTATCCCCTCCATTTCGCGACCTTTACTTCAATCTTTTTTTTCTCGTGATTGTTGATCATTTAAAGTATACAATTTTTACTCCCATGTAAAAAAGTTCTATTTTTCATTTGTAATTACTTCAATACCGTTAATCTTCATTTCTATATAGATAGGAGGCTTATGTGCTTGCATCTTTACCAAGAGGATAATGCACCAGTTCACAAAGACAAAAGTTATTGAAATTATAAAATTTCTTTCTCATGGTTTCAAAACCCATAATTCGTTATTTGTATTTTATGAGTTTAAGTTCGGTTTGTACTGTGTTCTGTGATGAAACTATAAGTGCACTGCCCAAAAGTTTACTTCTGGGAATGCGGTTATTGAAGATGAAGATTTGGTAGACGTTCTGTCTTGAATGACGAAGAATTGACGGAAGCTATCGAACTTGATTCGATTCAAAGACTGTCAAAAGCTAGCCAGAGTGTTCATCGTAGCGTTGAAGCTATTCTAGCTTACTTGGGAAGACGTGGAAATGGGTTCCTCATAAATTGACAGAAGGTAGCGACCTACAGTGTCTAAACGTTTGCCTTTTTTTACTTTTACAAAACAGAGGCATTTTTGACCGGACTGACACGAAAAATGGATCCTGTACGGTACCACCACGAGGTCATACAAGGAATGACCCTGTCCCGTTGAAAAAATTGAATATTCTCTAACAAAAGGTTATGCTTTGATAGCCAGTGCGCACTGTCACGTGGTCAGACCACCCCAGAAATCTACTCAGGCCAACTGCGATGAGTATCTCTTGCCCTGGCCCAAATTATTGGCTCTTGTGAACAAAAAAGGTATAAGTTCACCAGGACATCGCGAGACCTAACACAACTAAAACGACAAAGTGATAATGAAGCTTGGTTGTTCTATTACAGCCTCAGTATTCTCCAGACCTGGATCCGTCTGATTTTTACCTTTTCTTAGCCAGGGACTATCTTAAGCGCAATCAGGAGTTCGATAATCGCCAAGAGCTGGAAAATAAGATAAATTTATTTTTTAAGTCCCGGGACCCAAACTTCTATAAAAAGAGCTTGGGCTAGCGACTCGTTGGGAAACGGTTATAGATGCTGATGGAGATTATTTCCCAGAATAACATATCTCTATAAAATTTGATAACTAATTCAAATAATATATTTTCAAAATAGAATAAGTACGAAATCGTTTTGTGAAAAAAAAGCTCTACAGTTTTACACCAATCATAGGTAGATTGAGATGGGGAGTTGTGTCCGAGTGGATCAAAGTCACGATAGCTCAATTGATAGAGCAGCGGCGTATTGAGCCGAAGGTCGTGTGTTCGAATCACGTTCGTGACACTAACTTTTTCATTTCAACCAAAACCTTACATAAAGATTAATTAATCGAAAGAAGTTATTTGGTCAATCGGACCACGAAATATAATGGAACTAATCATAGCTTTGATTAGTGATTACCACAATTAATGGAATAACATAACTTGATATTGAACAGATTTATTCTGATTAACTCCGAGCCGAGTGCTATCTCTTTTTGCCCTCTGGTCCACCTCCACCTACTGATCTCAAGAGCTTTCCGGCATTCATCCCGTAAACAATCATCTCTACCAAGTACGATCCGAGCGGGACATAAGTCATCCAAATTTTGCTTGTGGGTTTTAAAGTTTCATATAAGTAGATAGGTAGTATCAGACTCAGAGAACAAGGGGCAACGAATAGACAGAGAAAAAGTTTGATGAAGACACCTATTGTTCACGTACTCTGTTGTGGCATACCAAACTGCTAAAAACGTGGACCCTTCAGACAATGGGTTAAAAATGAGTCGTGCGTTCAATGCGAATGTAGCCCAGGAGCTAAGAAGTTCATCAAAGGACTATTACTGAAACGGCATTACTAGTAAATGTAGGACTTTTAGGACAAGATTATTAGTTTTACTGGACACTGCACACTCTGAAGGTCTGTACAGACTTGATGGACGAAACAAGCCTGCCAAGAAAAATAAGAAACAGCGGGGACTCTATTGGTGTGAAGATTGCTGCAGGCTGTGATTCCTACTACTGGGAAAGGAAAAGCCCGGGCCAATAGAAGCCTTCGGAAGTCTTTGGAAAAGCTTTCGGGTAAAAAGATTTAAGATTAATGAAGAGCTCTAGACGATGGAGATTCACAATAGACCAATACTGGTCGTAAAGAATCTCCTTCTCTATTGTAATTTAATCTACAGACTAATTCTCAAGCAAAACCTTTAAAAATGTTATTCTCCTGGGAAATGAAAGCGATATTACACGGAGGAGAATTTTGAAGGAGTCCGATTTAGCTTTCGTTCATGCTTGTAGTGGACGGTCACAGACAATTGAGGTCTTCAACAACAAAAAGGTCACTGCGTTGTCGTTCTATAACTTTAATCTAGTTTAAAATAATTTAATAGACGCAGAAAGACCCAGCACTATTAGCGAACGATTTAAATCCGTTAGTCAGACAAAACCATTGCCCGAGGTTGACAATCTATCTCAAACTAGAGATCAGCTTGATGAAACTCAACTTTTGTTAATCAATTTATACTAGCGTTATGACGTCCTGGTGCTACCCAAGTGAGACTGGGCAGACCAAATGATAGGAACTACAACCTATAACCAAACTACAACCTTTAACTTGATCATCTACGTCCATCCTTGTCTGCCCAGTCTAGAATCTAAGAGTCTGGCTTAATGGATGCAGTTCAATTGAACTATTTTCAGCTTTTGTTTTCAAAATCAGACAAACCTCCAGCATCTCAAGGAGAAAGTCAAATTAATAAATTAACTGATAAAAATTTCGAACTATACTGCAAAACCGCAAGCATTTTTCGGTCATTCTGGTTTTTAAGATTACGATCGATGAACAGTAAGCTAGTGTACGTCGTGCCCTGTACTTCTTTATCTAAGCATTAGACATAAGACTTGCAAACCTGCAGCAAGATTATGCGTCCAGATAGATCGAAATGAGTGGACAAGAGACCCGACTAAATGAAAATCACATAAACAAGTGACTGAAAATGGCGAGAAGCCGAAATGCTAATAAACCAAAACAACCTTTTAAATATCTAGGAGTCATCTGAAAGCCAAATTGGGATTCCTTGAGAAGTTTGTTCCATTTTATATGGCATGTCTTAGGAGTTTTTTTTTTATTTACGTGAAATTTGTGCGTGCATATCTGGATGCTACAAATAAATGTTCTATGTGTTAGTTAATAAAATTAATGATAATAATAACCACAAAATATGTTCATACATAGTACATATAGTACAGTCACATATGCTTATATAAGAGAAAAAAATCGAATAGCGTGAAGGCTGGGAAAGGTAAATCGTTTAATGACCACCTAACCGCACGAGCGTTATAGGGAGCATAATTGTCAGGCTTTGAAAAAAGGGTTAATGTTGTGGGTGTGTCCAGTATCGTTGGATTCTTCTGACTGATGTTTTTCACAATTTGGTCATATTCAACGGAAGTAGCATAGTTATCTAGCATAGGAAGCGTTTCCGACTATTGAACATATTGGAATGTGAAAACAGACATAACCTGCGAGCATAGATCAATTACGATGATCAGATCAAGCTACAAACTTTTATTGTATATGAGTATAGTGTCAAGTAGGCATGAATAACAGACACTGCTATTCCTTTTTAGCTTTTTTGAGTTGGTCAAGTTGGGAACAGTATTTGATTGCAATAATTGCGTTTCGCATGGCCGATTGTGGCCAGGTGGCACGTCCTATGCAAAGTGCAACGATTTGTGTTCTCGATGTCAACGTGGCCACGCCGTCAGTATTTTTTGATGTTTAAAGATAAAACGTGTTTTGCAGATTTTCCTCCTGTGCCTCGTGCTCGTCTGGGCGGAGTGCTATGACCCGGAGGACAAGCTGATCGACACGGTCCTCCCTTCGAAAGAGACGAGGTTCGAAGCTTTCTACCCGAGGAAGGCGTACGGACTGCCCAACGGTTCGTCGAGGCCGGCCCACGGACACGGGACCTTCTACAGCCACAGGAACCCGGCCCTGATCGACACGGCCAACTCGCCGGCGTACGGATACAGATTCGACGGCTACAGGCGGTTCAACTTCGACTAAACTGTGCGCTTTACAATTCAACAAACTACCTCCACGACAAATCAAAACGTTTAACTTTTTAATAACTTACACCAAAAATTGCTACTTTAGCTGTAGCCGTACAGCTTTCTAAAACTGGTTTCAACCGTAAAAATTAGGGAAAATATACAACAATTTTATAATTTCAAATAAGTTCTCAAAAGTATAATACATCTTTTTTTATCGAACACTATCAAAACTTAATGAATCTACCCGAAACACCCGTCTTAAAATTAACCCAACAAAATAATGAACACTTTCCACCATAAAATGGTGCCTTTATGTATTTCCCTATTTAATCCTTTGTAATTAAATAGTAAGTAATGGTTTTGTATTTCACCACTGTTATACAATATCTGCTGTCTTTGCAAGATGTATTATTTGGTTTATAATATAAATTTTATTTTATATCATAACCTATTTTTAAAATAAATAAAAAAACTGTTTACTTTGTCTATATCTTGTTATAGTCATAAATTATATTATACCGTTATTTTTTATTAATATAATATTCTTAATATACCAGAGAGTGTAAAAAAAAATTGTTTAAGTTTCTCAGTAACACCCCGAATTACATGATTTATGTCGAAGCCAAATGCATTCCGAGCCGATTTTTACTTTCTTCTTATATTTTAGATATTAAGGGTCCTAGAACTATAGTTATCCCATTTACCGAATTTAGTGCCCTCTGAATTAATTAAAAAGAAAATACTTTGGTTCAAGGAGTGGAAATGGAAAATGTGTGGAATTATTGGATTGTACCTGGAAGGTAGGTGATTGTGCTGTTTTAGGTTCTGTACTGGAATGGGTCAAAAATGGACTTCATGTTAGGATAAAATGATAATTTTTTATCAAAATAAACAGAGAATAAAGGCGCTAGAAGAACAGTATATATATATATATATATATATATATATATATATATTATGCAGGGTGTCCTTAAATGGCCGGGATGAATTTCTCTTGAATCCCAGTTCAACTTAAAATTTCCAATACGACCCTAAAATCCTGACACATCATTTTAAAGGATTTTTCACGCTGAAAAAAATGGTGCAATCGGCTTCACTAAAGTAAACATTAATTGCCTTTATTGTTTGTGAAACTCTCATTATGAGAGCAAATCTTAATTCTTGGAAGTAAATACATTTTAAAATAGTACATATTCAATACATTCAGTATTCCATTCAAAACGAACCGAAGAGCACGTGTCAGGATTATAGGGTCGTATTTGTTGAAGGTGAACTGGGCCTGAGGTACTCTGTATAATTTTTATCCAAAAAAGGTCTAATTTGAAACTAGACTAAAAAATATTAAATACGTTTTTTTTTATAGCTTCATTGGTTCAAGGGAGATTCAGCCGGGCCATCTAAAACGACACTCTGTAACCAGAGTGTCCAAAAAAATTGTTTAAGCTTTCCAGTAACACCTCCAATTACATGATTTATGTCGAAGCCAAATGCCTTCCGATACAGGTTTCTACTTTCTTCTTACATTTTAGATATTAAGGGTCCTAGAACTCCAGCCATTCATTTAACTCAATTTAGCACCCTCTGAATTAATGAAGCTAAAACTTCTATGGTTCCAAGAGAGGAATTATTGGATGAGGTATGTAGGAGATCGCACTGTTTTAGGTTCTTTAGAAGAATGGGGCATAAATGGACTTCGTCTTAAGGATAAAATGATAAATTTTTGTGAAAAGGAACAGAGAAGAAAGTCGCTTGAAGGAGTATCATAGCATAGGCAACTAAGACTGAATGTGGACTCCATGAATTTGGGTGTAAATACTGATGATTTGGGTCTAGTAATTAAAACTTTATTATTTGGTGAATTATTAAATGTTAATCATAAACCGTAGAAAATGAAGATATATTAGGAACATTTTTTTTAAAGTTCTGAACACCTGTCGTATGTGCCTTAGTTAATATTTTAAACGGAACCCACTGGCTAAATTTAATAAATTATGTGAAGGAACTTTAGTGAATTTTTTTAGTTAAAAATTTTAATTACTAATCAAGTAATGTATTTACTTTCCTTTTATTCTTTTGTATTAGTTTGTATTTTTAGCACCAGAAACTAACATTTTTTGTTGTTATTAATTTAGTTAATATTCAAATTAAATGTTTGGTCATCATAATTATTTTTGCGTTGTATTCATTTTCTTTTCTTTTCTCAAATGAATGTGATCTCCTGACAGACAGCCTCGGCTTTTGTAATTTTACTTGTTTATTATTTATTGATTTTTATTTTACGAGGGTTCGAAACAGCAGAGGTCATATAAACCCTCGGGGTGCCGGTGTTTTTGAAAAAAAAACTTACATTTGTAAGTATGTCGAGTTCGACTGAAGGGCCGCTGGATTCGAACCCGGGACCTTTACCTTACAGTGATGAGCGCCGTGTCAACGGCTAAACCGTTGCGGCCACCGACGCCCCTTTTTTTATTATTACTTTTGTGTTTGTTCATAATATTGTAAATAAAAGTATTTATCTACCTATCTATTTTTAATATAAAAAGTGATTCACATATAACGTGTCAAACATCAGGAGGTGTAAGTTCATCTTCCACCAAGACGCAAATTATTATTAATGATCGGTTCAATTTATTGACGATTTTTCAATCCTTGCCATAAATATAGGCGGGTTGGCGCGCAATAATGAACCAAAGGAAGGAGGTGGGTTAATCGAATTTAACGATAGCACAGACAAAATTACCTGGCTTTTGAGAATAAATCAGTTTTTTTTAAATCGTTTATTTAATGTCGTGAAGGTTTTGAACCTTTGACTCCTTGGAAAATCTTGAATTGAAAAGAACAATTTCACGATCTTACCAATTGAGGATAAATGCTGTACCTCGGCGAATGCTAGAAAGCTGACTAATCTGACTTATTGAAACGTTACTTGTCTGACAGAAAATTTATTTATTTCTTTATTGTAAACAAGTAAAAATAAGTAAAAAATGCTATTTGACAAATAATACAAACTGTTCAAAGAATTTTTTTGTTGACAGGATACAATAGCTCTTAAAGGGCGCAGTATATTACACCCCGAATATTTCATTATATGTATATTACATTTTGTCTAAATCTTGATTTGTTTTCTTGTGGGTGTTCGAAAATGACCCGGAAGTGCGTATGCCCGACATCCCCCCAGGCTTGCCATACCCAGCAAGTTTCCAATTTATTTCTGCGCCGTACTTAAGGGATGTGTATGCACTGCTCCCTTTCTCATCCCTTCCGACGGGGGATGATTTCATCCGACCGCCCCCTGCTGCCGCCCCACAAACTCCACCCTCCTATCCCTACTTTCTCAATCCAGGAGGAGATTTTAACGAATTTGAGAAATTTGTATATCATTTAATATCCCTACTCTCCACTTTTTCTTCTCTGAATGGATTTCCGCCTAATTGTTACTTTTTGTCTACGGTAATTTGAGCATTCCAAAATGATTTGACCTCGTCAAAAGAAGTTACTTAGGTTAATTTAAGCCTGCTTTTTGTATTTAGACTTAAATTTATTTCAACATAAATAATGGAATTCTTGTAACAGGATATTGTATCAAAATTATTAATTAATGTAAACAAAAACACTTAAATAATTTGGTCGTTACTGATATTTTTGACGCTTATCCAAGCTGCGTTGGTCAGTTAGACTCGTTTCAGCTTTTCGCCATCCTCAGTGTTGGATGAAACCAGCAAGGATAAGCAGACTAAAATGGTACCAACTAAATTACGCGTTCATCACCCCGCAATACTCATGGAGAAATCTCACTAATTAAAGAATATAATGTTGAACTGGCACAGGGTTATTTGCTGGGTCTGTCTCCATTCGCTTGTATGTTGATGTATTTGTATGTTTCTTTGGGATTAATGATTAGGGGTTAGTTTTTTTTAAAACGTGTTTTTGGTATTTTTGTGTAGGGTTTCTGTCACTCTTTATGTGATTTTGGGTTTGTATAAATTGCAGTGTTTTGGAAATGTAGTATTTTCCATGATTCATGATTTCAGCTTTTACCATAATTAAGTCATTAGTTAGTATTTTCTTTATGCTTTTTATTAGTATGTCTTCTGAGTTAGTTTGTATTGGAGAAAGATGTGATATTGTTTTGTCTGTTATGGTAGCTGCGATGTGTCTTGTCCGATGGCTGTTCTGAGTTTTATGGCTCGTGTTATGTTACGTTCTGTGTTGGCCCATTTTATGTTGTGTTTTAGTCTTTTTGTAATTGTTTGCTTTCGATGATGTTGAATTTTTTATTGATGGGTTTGTGTTTACTGAGGTTTGTTAGTTTTTTTTTTAAGTTGTATATTTCTGTTGAGTTAGTATTTCGTGTTTTCTTGGGTAGATTTTATAAAGTGTGTGCAAGTCTAACAATTCTTTGAGTTTTTGTTTTTTATGTATAGGGAGCGTATTTCTGTTTTTATCCCGTTTTTTGGCTATTTTCATGGCAGTCGTTGCGGCGAATGTGTCTGTTTTTGTTTTAATTTAGCATAAGTCGGAGTTAAACTGTTAGTTGCAAGCATTGTTTGTTAAACCAAATATTAATTAAGTTATAATCCACAAACACGGAACGTAACATAACACGGGCCATAATAGGCACTGAAACCGCCATCGGACTCCTACCCACAGGCATATAAGAACGAACAAGACCCATCGCAGCCACCATAATAGAAAAAGCAATCTCACAACTTTCTCCGGTAGAAACTAAATCAGAAGAAAAATTTGAAAAAACTAAATAACAACGACTTCATTAGCACAAAAGCAGACAAAGGCAACGCTACAATTATCATGACAAAGACTACGTTTCAAAAACGCTACAATTTATACAAATTCAGAATCACATAAAGAGCAACGGAGACCCTACACAAAAATACCAAAAGCACGTTAAAAAAATAAACAATTGTCTCCTAATCATTAACCCCAACGAAACATACAAATACATCAACATACACGCGAATGGAGACAGATCCAGTAAGTAACCCTGTGCCGGTTCAACACGATATTCTTTAATTAGTGAGATTTCTAATTAGTCAGAATTAGTAATTTTTATTTTTAATTTTAACTTTAATTAGTTAGTAATATATTAATTAATAATTTAATTCGCCCACCAATGCCCATCATCGACTTCAATTAAAGAATATGGCAAAAGAAAAATGACAGCGTCTATGGACTGGGTCGCTCAAGATGCTTCTGGTCATCAATAGCACGATTGCTCGATAACAGATAATATAAGGGTCGAAATAGGCTCGAAGTGACACGTGAAATATGTGTGAAATAGGCCACACAGATACAAGCAGTTCTCGAGTAAGAAATTGCCTTAATCAGATCAGTTGTTTGCTTTTAGAAGAAGTCGGAGGTGTTGTGATATCTAGATCTCGCAAGGAAGTTAGAAGGTTATAGACAGGATGACTTGGTAACTCATTTTAACCGTCCCACCGAGTGAATGCAATGCTCGCAGCTAAAAATTGGAAAATTTCCTCGCTTTTCATCTTAAACCCAGCTGCAATATGTTGTTTTCCAAAAGAAAACGTAATATGTCGCCAGATATGAAA